TTGTGACCATCAGCGCTTTTGCACTCTGCTAGGCCTTGTACCTACTGGGCCTCACTTGCTTACCTCTTGACCTTGCTTGTACTGTGATCACTATATATATATGCCTACTTGTTTACTTTTGCTAGGTTGTGATCACTGTATCTCTTGTTTTGTTATAAACCTGCATGTGAACTGGTCTTGTGACCGCTTGCTTGTGCTCGGAATTTGTGTGGAATCCTTGAGATCCACCCTGAGCTTGCTTTGCTTTGCTTTGACTGGTCTTGTGACCCTGTGGTTGTCTCCCACTGCGCCTATGGGGGTGTGTCAAACATTGTATGTTTATATTGTGTAGGCTGTAGTGGGTTACACCTTAGGGTACACAAAGTTAGGGTTTCCTACTTGTACCAAACTCTGTGCTAGTTCATTCCATTCCTGCTCAGTTATTCTGACATACTGGGTTGGTGCTCCTGCCCCTGACTGGCTGCCTCTTGTTCAGCGCTACGGCTCCGCTCTGTGGGCCATGTCTGCTGAGCAGTTAGTTGATCTGATTGGTACTCCCCATGCTATGTATGCTGTTGTTGACTCTAGTGTTTCTGACTCTGCTTACTCTGGTGTTGTTAGCTTAGGTGCTAGCCTTGCTCAGTTGCCTGTTGCTAGTGTAGGTTCTTGTGTAGACTCTAGTCCAGCGGCTACCTCAGAGGACGGTTCGCTGTCGTTCACGCTGGACTCTGGAGCCTCTCACTGCTTCTTTCGTGACAGCACGACACTTACGCCTCTTCCTGCGCCTGTTTCTGTAGCACTGGCTGATCCCACTTCGGGACCAGTCACCGCGCGTCACACTACCACCTTGCCGTGTCCGGCTGCTCCTTCTGGGTCTCTCACTGGGTTTCACGTCCCCTCGTTCTCCCGGAACTTGGTGGGCGTGCGACCCCTCGTGAGTCAGCACGTGGGTGTGTGGTTTGAGCCTTCTGGAGAGACTGCGGTGTGTGTTGACGGGGACTCTTACCAGCCCCTCGCCACTTTTGCTGCTGAGCCGGGCTCCGGTCTCTACACTCTTCACACTGGCCCGCGCCCTCAGCGGCGACTGCAGCAGCAGCAGCACCAGCAGCAGCAGCGGCAGCAGCAGCCGCAGCCGCAGCCACAGCCGCCCCTCCTGCCCCCGGCCCCTGTTTTGCCCCCCGTTCGAGTCCTCGCGTCTCACCAGGTTGCTCCGTCCCCCCAGGTAGCTGTGTCTTGTCAGGTTCCTCCGTCTAGTCCGGTCGCTGCGTCGTGCTCCTGTCGGTCGCTTGCCCACCCCACCGTTTTGTGGCACCACCGGCTGGGGCACCCTTCTCCTCCTCGTCTTCGCGCTATGTCTCGTCAGCGTCTTGTCTTAGGTCTCCCGCGTGTCTTGCCGTCGCTGCCGCCGTCCCTTGCACCACCGTGCGGTCCTTGCGTCGAGGGTAGGCTGCGCGCCACCCCTCACTCCTCCTCCCTTCGTCCGGCCACCGAGCCTTTTGAGACGCTGCACTTGGACGTCTGGGGCCCCTCTCCTCGCCCTGGCCCTGAGCGTGAGCGTTTCTTTTTGGTGGTCGTTGACGACTACTCCCGCTACACCACAGTGTTCCCCCTGGCGAGGAAGTCTGAGGTGACTTCTACGCTGATCAGGTGGTTGCTTACCACCCAGGACACTCGTGGTCGTCGTGTCAGCTGTCTCCACTCCGACCGCGGGGGCGAGTTTCGCTCCGGCATTCTCGCTGGATTCTGTCGCGAACAGGGCATTCGTCAGTCCTGGACGCTTCCGGAGTCCCCACAGCAGAATGGGGTTGCTGAGCGTCGCATAGGCCTGGTCATGGAGATTGCCCGCACCTCCTTGACTCACGCCCGTGCCCCCCATTTCCTGTGGCCATACGCGGTCAGGTACGCCGCGCACCAGCTGAACCTCTGGCCACGCGTCTCTCGGCCGGAGGCTTCACCGACCAGTCTTTGGACAGGGTCCCCTGGTGTCGCGTCGAGGTTTCGTGTCTGGGGGTGCTTGGCTCTTGTCCGCGACACCTCCGCGGACAAGCTCTCGCCTCGCGCCGTTCCTTGTGTCTTCCTTGGTTTCCCTAAGGACTCCTCTGACTTCACCTTTTACCACCCTCCCTCTCACCGGTTCTTTGACTCCCGTGACGTCCGTTTCGAGGAGTCCACCCCCTACTACGTCAGGTACCCCAGTCGAGGTCTCCCGGTCCCTCCCCCCCCTCTCTTCCTGACCGCCGCTCCCCCGCCTGCTCCCCCGGTACAGCCTCCCCCCCCTGGTCCAGCCCCGTCTGGTGTGTCTCAGGCTAGCCCTCCCCCTTCGGTAGCCCCCCCTGTACAGCCTCCCTCCCCACAGTCTTCCTCGCCGCCTCCTGCAGGTGCTCCCTCTCGGGAGGTTGGTCCTGCGACTGTCCCTGTACAGGTCTCTGGTTCTGGGGGTGCTGGAGTTGGAGCTGAGCCGCGGGTTGCAGAGGACTCTTGTCTTCCGGGGGCTGGTACTGGTCGTGCGGAGTCTGGGGGTGCTGGTGCGGAGTTCGGGGGTGCTGCGTCTGGGGGTGAGGGTGTCCCTTCGGTTTCTGGAGAGCCTGGGTCTGGAGCTGGTGTTGGTGCTGCCTCTGGGGGTGGTGTGCTTGGTGCTTCGGAGGTCGACTCTGGGGCTGCCGCTGCCCCGGACACTACTCCTTCCCCCCACCCCTACCCGACCAGGTTCCAGGCTCGTGTTCGCCGTGCTCGTGAGGAGCAGCTGGAGTTGGAGAGAGAGGAGCGAGAGTTGCAGCGGCTCGAGGAGCAGGAGCGACAGCAGCAGGAGCAGCAGCAGGAGCAGCAGCAGAGGCAGCAGCCGCTGGAGCAGCAGCAGCCGCAGCAGCCGCAGCAGCCGCAGCAGCAGCAGCAGCAGCAGCAGTTGCCGTCTCCTCCTCCTGTCTCGGGTCTTCGGACCCTTGGTCTCCCCTCTCCCTCTCCTTCCTCCTCCCCCTCTCCTCCCGTCTCTGGTCCTCCGCTTCCTCCTCCTGACCCCTCTCCCGCTGTTTTCCCTCGTTCTCAGTCTTCGTTGTCTCCTCCTCCTTCTCAGACTTGGGCCTCTCGTCGCTCCCCTCGTGCTCGTCCCTCGTCTCCTGTTCCCTTCACTGACCTTCGTACAGCCTTCCTTTGTTCTCGTCCACCTCGTCCGTCTCCGTCTGTGCTTCCGTCTCCTCCTGAGTCGGCCCTCACTGCGTCGCTTCCTACTCCTGTCACTGACTACTACCGCACGTACCGTCCTGTTCTCTCTCGTGTTCTCGCCTCTCTTGTTACCCACCCTCGTGCCTCTGTGTCCTCTGTGTCCGCTCTTACTGCCGCAGTCACTGAGTTTGCCTCTACCCGCCGCCTTGACTTCGCCACCGCTCTTGTGGCTGCTCCTCCTTCCAGTCCTCTGGCCGTCGGGGGTGTGTCTGCCCTTGGCTGTGACGCCCTAGAGGACAGGCAGTTCGAGCTAGAGTTCCTGGCCGCCGCTTCCCCTCATCTCTGTGCCATGCTCCTCGCCCCTGAGGGTGACCCCGACGCCCTTGACATTCCGACTCCTCGCACTTACGCTGAGGCAGTGTCAGGGCCTTGGGCCTCTCAGTGGAGAGCCGCCATGGACGCAGAGATGGCCTCCTACAGATCCACAGGCACCTACGTCGATGAGGTTCCCCCCCTTGGGGCGAACGTAGTCGACGGCATGTGGATCTACAGGGTGAAGCGGCCACCGGGTTCTCCCCCGGTCTTCAAGGCGCGCTACGTGGCTAGAGGTTTCAGTCAGCGCGAGGGAGTTGACTTCTTTCAGACCTTCGCGCCCACCCCGAAGATGACCACTCTTCGGGTGTTACTACACGTAGCAGCGCAGAGAGACTACGAGTTACACTCTCTCGACTTCTCTACTGCTTTCCTTCAGGGCAGTCTTCACGAGGAGGTCTGGCTGCGTCGTCCCTCTGCCTTCACTGGCTCTTTCCCTCCTGGGACCCAATGGAGGCTGAGGCGACCGGTTTACGGTCTTCGTCAGGCTCCTCGTGAGTGGCACGACACCCTGCGTTCTACCCTCTCTGACCTTGGGTTCCAGCCGTCTTCTGCTGACCCGTCGCTGTTCGTTCGTCGTGGCCCCACACCTTTCTTTGTTCTGGTCTACGTTGACGACCTTGTTTTCGCCACTCCTGACAGGGTTGCTTTGGCACACGTGAAGTCCGAACTGCAGAAGAGACACACCTGCACTGACCTTGGTGAGCTGCGCCACTACCTTGGCCTGCAGATCACCAGGGACAGAGCTGCTCGCACCATTACACTTTCACACTCACACATGGTGCAGCAGGTCCTTCAGCGGTTCGGGCTTCAGCACTCCACCGTACAGTGTCAGAAATAACTGAGCAGGAATGAATAAACTAGAACAGAGTTTGGTACAAGTAGTAAACCCTAACTTTGTGTACCCCCTAAGGTGTAACCCACTACAGCCTAGACAATATAAACATGCAATGTTTGACACACCCCCATAGGCGCAGTGGGAGACAACCACAGGGTCACAAGACCAGTCAAAGCAAAGTAAAGCAAGCTCAGGGTGGATCTCAAGGATTCCACACAAATTCCGAGCACAAGCAAGTGGTCTCAAGACCAGTTCACATGCAGGTTTATAACAAAGCAAGAGATACAGTGATCACAACCTAGCAAAAGTAAACAAGTAGGCATATATATATAGTGATCACAGTACAAGCAAGGTCAAGAGGTAAGCAAGTGAGGCCCAGTAGGTACAAGGCCTAGTAGAGTGCAAAAGCGCTGATGGTCACAAGGCTGAAGCGCCTTGGTGAACACATCAGCAGTGTTGGCCTCCGTGGCCACGTAACGCAGACAAAGCTGACCACGCTGCTGCAGCTCTCGAGCAAGGAAGTACCGCAGAGCGATGTGCTTCGTTCTGTGCTCCAGTCTGTGCTCCTCACACAAGGCAATGGCAGCCTTGTTGTCAACGTACAGCACTGGAGGAGAACGAGGCCGCTCTCCGAGGTCGGTCAGCAGGTAGGTCAGCCAGCGTAGCTCCTGAGCAGCCATGGCTGTGGCGTAGATCTCAGCCTCACAACTGGAGCTGAGAACAGAAGAAGAGCGAGTAGAACGCCAAGAAACTGAGCCAGAGCCAAGGCTGAAGGTGTAACCCTGGGACGACCGCTGAGTAGCCTGGTCGTCTGCCCAAGAAGAGTCTGAGTGCCCTGTGAGAACAACCCGGTCTCGCCCTCCAAGCACAAGCCCCATGCCCGACGTACTGCACAAGTAGCGCAACACCCTCTTAGCAGCATCCATGTGCTCCTTCCGGTGACGGCCAGGAGCGACATAGCGTGCTAGGATGCTAAGAGGGTATGCAAGGTCAGGTCGAGTGCAGGTCATCAGGTACATGAGGCAGCCCACAAGCTCTGGATACGGGCCACTCGGCTCTACGGACTCATCCGAAGGCAGAGCTGAGAGCGAGTGACCGGTAGGCAGAGGAGTGGACTGAGGCGAGGAGTACGTGAAGCGGAAGCGCTGGAGAACCTGCTGCACCATGTGTGACTGAGTCAGGGTGATGGTGCGCCGCGCTCTGTCCCGGGTGATCCGCAAGCCAAGATAGCTCGTCAGCTCACCCAGGTCTGTGCACGTGTGTCTCCTCTGCAGCTCCGACTTCACGTGAGCGAGTGCCGCGGTGTCAGCAGTGGCAAAGACCAAGTCGTCGACGTACACGAGGATGTAGAACGGCGGCAGCGAGGTGTCGGTGCGTAGAAACAGCGACGGGTCAGCAGTAGAGGGAGCGAACCCAAGAGCCGCAAGTGTCGTCCTCAGTGTGTCGTGCCACTCACGTGGCGCCTGGCGGAGACCGTAGACCGGCCGCTGAAGCCTCCACTGGGTGCCAGGAGGAACTGACCCAGTGAAGCCAGGGGGGCGGCGCAGCCAGATCTCCTCGTGCAGGCTGCCCTGCAAGAAAGCAGTGCTGAAGTCAAGAGAGTGAAGCTCGTAGTCGCGGTGAGCGGCTATGTGCAGCAGCACCCGAAGAGTAGTCATCTTCGGGGTGGGGGAGAAGGTCTGAAAGAAGTCTACTCCCTCTCGCTGACTGAAGCCTCGAGCCACGTAGCGCGCCTTGAAGACAGGTGGAGAACCCGGCGGCCGCTTCACCCTGAAAATCCACATGCCACTGACGATGTTCGCCCCAGGAGGGGGAACCTCGTCTACGTAGGTGCCTGTGGACTTCCAGGAGGCCATCTCTGCGTCCATGGCTGTCTGCCACTGAGAGGAGTAGGGACCCGCCATCGCCTCAGCGTAAGAGCGTGGGGTCGGGATGTCTGGTGCATCCGGGTCTCCCTCAGGGGCAACTAGCAAGGACACGAGACGGGGCAAAGCAGCAGCAAGGCAGTGGAACTCCTCCTGTCTGTCCTCAAGGACGTCCGTGCCGAGGGCACACTCACCCCCGACGGACGGAGGACAGGCAGACGCAGACTCAGACCTAGCGACAAGGCTGGCAGCGTAGTCTAGGCGACAGCGAGCAGCAAAGTCAACCAACTCAGCGACCAGAGCAGATGCAGCAGAGGACTCAAAGGTCGGGTCAGTGACAACAGTAGCGAGGAGACGCGTAACAGTGGGACTGGCAGCACGACGGGAGTCAGACTCTGGGTCAGAAGAGTAGGAAGAGAGGACGCAGGAGGAGACGGCAGCGGGACACGCTGCGGAGCAGTGGAGGGACGCAGAGTCATGTAGTGAGTGCCAGGGACAGGAGGAGGACGCTCACGTGGGACACGACGACCAGTGCGAGCAGTACGAACAGGCGACGCAGGACGAGACTCAGGCTCACGACGCTCTGTAAGACCTCCTGTGGGACCAGCGTAAGGGGAGGGAGCAGGGAGAGGCGAGGCAGGCGGTAACTGTGACTGCGGCTGGACAGGCAGAGGACACTCGACGGAGGGAGGAGGACTAGGAGGAGGAGCCTGACCAAGAACCTGCTGAAGGAGCGGTACGAAATACGGTCGCGGCCGCGCAGCGTCTCCAGAAGCAGCAGGGACACCAGTGGCAGCCCCAACGCCCGAGTCCTCAGCACCAGCAGCAGCTCCAACGCCCGGGTCCTCAGCACCAGTAGGAGCTCCAACGCCCGAGTCCTCAGCACCAGCAGCAGCGCCACCGGTCGGGTCCTCAGCACCAGCAGCAGCTCCAGCCCCCATGTCCTCAGCACCAGCAGCAGCTCCAGCGTCCGGGTCCTCAGCACCAGCAACAGCACCACTGCTCGGGTCCGCAGCACCAGGAGCACCACTACGAAGACTGCAGCGCCGCGTGTACCACTCGCGGATCACCTGAATGGGGGGGAGCTCCTGGGTAGGAGGGGAAGTACCGGGACGAGCTCCAGAAGCACCTCTCGGGAGGCGGCAGTACTCGAGGTACCTCTCCTGCAGCTGCTGGGAGGAGAGGGCTCCTCCAGATGGAGTACCCCCAGACTCAGCACCCCCAGACTCAGCACGTCCAAACTCAGCACCACCAGGCTCCGCACCTCCAGGCTCAGCACCCCCAGGCTCCGCACCTCCAGGCTCAGTACCTCCAGGCTCCGCACCTCCAGGCTCAGCACCCCCAGGCTCCGCACCTCCAGGCTCAGCACCCCCAGGCTCCGCACCTCCAGGCTCAGCACCCCCAGGCTCAGCACCCCCAGGCTCCGCACCCTCAGACGCAGCACTCCCAGGCTCAGCACCCCCAGACGCAGGACGCGAGTCAACAGCTACCTCGACAGGCTCACTCGGGTCTACCTGGGACACACCTGAGGGAGCGGCACCCTGAGGGGGGAGGGGGTCTGGTACCTCAGCACCTGGAGCGAGGAAGAGAGGCGGGGGGGGGAGCGGGGCAGTGCGGTAGGGGAAGAGGCGGTAGAAGGGGACGGACTCGTCAAAAGTGACGTCCTGAGAGGCCAGAACCCGGCGCGAGGTGACGTGGTAAAACTGCCATCCAGGCGCGTCGGGAACAAAGCCAAGAAAGACACAGGGAACAGCGCGACGCGAGAGCTTGTCCGCGGACGTGTCGCGGACAAAAGCTCGAGATCCCCAGACCCAGAAACGCGACGCATCGCCAACCTCTCCCGTCCACCGTAGAGTCGGGGAAGTCTCCGGCAAGGAGACACGGGGCCAGAGGTTGAGCTGATGCGCTGCGTACCGGACTGCAAACGGCCACAGAAAGTGGGGAGCAGCCGCATGGGTCAGGGAGGTACGAGCGACCTCCATGACTAAGCCAATGCGGCGCTCAGCAACCCCATTCTGCTGTGGAGAGGCCGGAAGCGTGTACGACTGCTCAATGCCGTGCTCAGCACAGTAGGCTGCCAAGAGGTCGGAGGCGAACTCACCACCCCTGTCAGAGTGCAAGCGCAGGACAGGAAAGTCCGAGTGAAAGCGCTCGCCTAGCTGGAGACGGGCTCGGCTGATCCAGGGGATCAAAGCACCAGCACCAGGAGCACCACTACGAAGACTGCAGCGCCGCGTGTACCACTCGCGGATCACCTGAATGGGGGGGAGCTCCTGGGTAGGAGGGGAAGTACCGGGACGAGCTCCAGAAGCACCTCTCGGGAGGCGGCAGTACTCGAGGTACCTCTCCTGCAGCTGCTGGGAGGAGAGGGCTCCTCCAGATGGAGTACCCCCAGACTCAGCACCCCCAGACTCAGCACGTCCAAACTCAGCACCACCAGGCTCCGCACCTCCAGGCTCAGCACCCCCAGGCTCCGCACCTCCAGGCTCAGTACCTCCAGGCTCCGCACCTCCAGGCTCAGCACCCCCAGGCTCCGCACCTCCAGGCTCAGCACCCCCAGGCTCCGCACCTCCAGGCTCAGCACCCCCAGGCTCAGCACCCCCAGGCTCCGCACCCTCAGACGCAGCACTCCCAGGCTCAGCACCCCCAGACGCAGGACGCGAGTCAACAGCTACCTCGACAGGCTCACTCGGGTCTACCTGGGACACACCTGAGGGAGCGGCACCCTGAGGGGGGAGGGGGTCTGGTACCTCAGCACCTGGAGCGAGGAAGAGAGGCGGGGGGGGAGCGGGGCAGTGCGGTAGGGGAAGAGGCGGTAGAAGGGGACGGACTCGTCAAAAGTGACGTCCTGAGAGGCCAGAACCCGGCGCGAGGTGACGTGGTAAAACTGCCATCCAGGCGCGTCGGGAACAAAGCCAAGAAAGACACAGGGAACAGCGCGACGCGAGAGCTTGTCCGCGGACGTGTCGCGGACAAAAGCTCGAGATCCCCAGACCCGGAAACGCGACGCATCGCCAACCTCTCCCGTCCACCGTAGAGTCGGGGAAGTCTCCGGCAAGGAGACACGGGGCCAGAGGTTGAGCTGATGCGCTGCGTACCGGACTGCAAACGGCCACAGAAAGTGGGGAGCAGCCGCATGGGTCAGGGAGGTACGAGCGACCTCCATGACTAAGCCAATGCGGCGCTCAGCAACCCCATTCTGCTGTGGAGAGGCCGGAAGCGTGTACGACTGCTCAATGCCGTGCTCAGCACAGTAGGCTGCCAAGAGGTCGGAGGCGAACTCACCACCCCTGTCAGAGTGCAAGCGCAGGACAGGAAAGTCCGAGTGAAAGCGCTCGCCTAGCTGGAGACGGGCTCGGCTGATCCAGGGGATCAAAGCACCAGGGACGTCACCCTTGGCGCGCAAGGGGAAGACCGTGGTGTAGCGCGAGTAGTCGTCAACAACTATCAGGAAGTACCTCTCCTGACCCTGACCACGGACGCGGGCTGGGCCCCACACGTCCATGTGGAGCGTCTGCAGGGGAGCGGTCGTCGGGGGAAAGGAGGAGGAGTGAGGAGCGGCGCGCTGCCGCCCCTCGACACAGGGAATGCAGTCAGGAGCAGGGGAGTCAGGAAGGGGAGGGAGCACCCTGGGAAGACCAGCAACAAGGTCCCGTTTGTGCATGGCCCGCAGGCGCTGCACAGACGGGTGACCAAGGCGGTGGTGCCAGAGGACGGTGTCGTTCGCCAGAGAGCGACACGAGCAGGGGGCGGACAGCTGACCTGACGCTGACGCAGACGCAGCTACCTGAGGGGACTCAGTGGTCAGTGTGTACAGGTCAGACCCCGGCTCTCGAGTGAAAGTAGCCAGGTGGCGGCCCGTCCGAGCACACGTGCAGTGAGTCACACGCTCGTAGGCAGGGGTGAACTGGTGAACACCCGAGTCCTGGAGCGCACTACCTGCCACCAAGTTCGTGGAGAACGAGGGGAGGTAGAGACCTGAGAGCTTGCCGGACGGAACCGCTGGACACGGAAGGGTGGTGGAGGAGGTCGCAAGGACCGGACCCCCAGAGGGGTCAGCAAGAGAGACAGCAACCGGCCGAGCTAGAGGCTCAAGGACAGTGCGGTCACGAAAGAAAGAGCGAGAAGCACCTGAGTCAAGTGTGAAGGTGTGCAGTGCTGCAGTCGACTCAGTACCAGGGGGCACAGACGCAGAAGCACCTAGAGCAGCAGCTGCAGTAGTACCTGTGGAAGCAGACACACTAGCACCTAGTGCAGCAGCAGGGCTGGCCTGAATGCCCGGGTCGGGCGGAACACGCAAGTACTGAGCACCCTCTCCACTAATAGACATCGCATACATGGCAGTGAGAATAGCATCAAAGTCAAGTGCCCAAATATCAACACCCTTCCTGAGCAGATCAGCCCAGCGCGGCAGCTCACCCCCACCAGGAAACTGAGTGCGCCACGCATCGTTGAGGCGGGCGAAGCAGCGCTCCGTCTGGTGCGGCCCCCCACACGTCTGGCCAGTGCGGTCACCTGTACGAATAACGTACTGGCAGGTGACGCTGCGCCGCGCATACCACTCACGGGCGGCCTGAAGGGTCGGGGCAGGCTGCTGACTCTGACCGCCCGCCGGGCCTCCACGACCACCACCCCCTCCGCCTCCGCCCCGGCCACCTCCACCCCTGCCGCTGCCACGACCACCTCCGCCTCCGCTGCCACCTCCGCCCCTGTCACCACTCCCAACACCGCTGTCACCTCCACCACCGCCGCCACTAGCCTCTCCAGTCGCACCTCCACCGCCACCACCTCCACCCCCGCCTCCTCCGCCACCACCCCCACTCCTGCCACTCCTGCCCCTGCGTCGTCCGCCTGAAGCAGACGCAGCCCCGACCTTCTCAGCACCAAGGAGGTCGACAGCAGCAGCAGAGGCGACAGAGGGGAGGAGGGGGGAAGGGGAGCACCCCTCGAAGAAGGGGCCGCGGGGGTCGCCACGAGAGGTGCCTACAGCGACGATACTAGCCTCGGCTGCAAGCAGTTCCTTCTCGAGGAGGGCTATGGTGAGTTCAGTGGGGGAGCGAGAGAGGAACTGGTCCCTGACAGGGCGCAGAGAGTCAGGGAGGCGGGTGACAACGTGGTAGAGAGTGATCCAGAGCGGGGGGGGGTTGCTAGCGAGGAACTCATCAGGCATGGCAGCGCGAAAGCGAGCCTCACTAGTCTTAAGGTGGGTGATGAGGTCTGCGACAGTGTGAAAAGAGGCTAGGTCGGGGAACAGGTAGGGGAGAGTGAGGCGGCCTAGTGTGGCAGAAGCGGGTGAGGAGTAGCGGGCCACTACAGCTGTGTAGAGGTCCTTAGCAGTCTTGCACTGGCCGAAGTGCTCGCGCTCATCTAGCGGCAGGGAGTTGCGAATAGCAAAGCGAGCGTGCGCGTCACGGGTCTGCCACTGTGAGCGCTCAGTTGGGGGGGCAGTAGCGAGTGGGGCGGTCGCATGGCCGAGAGCGTGGTCGTACAGTGTAATATCTTCCTTGGCAGTGAGCTGTAGGAAAAGGTGCAGATCATCTAGCCAGGTTTCGAATTTGACCGGACGGCCCTCGGCGTCGAAAGCTAGAACAGGAGGACTAGCCATAGCGACAGCGGCAGTAGTAGAAGCAGTAAAGTCACTGAACAGGCGTGCGCAGGGTCAGCAGGGCCGGTGGGGCCTACAGACTGTAGTGGCGCACAAGCAGCAGTAGCAGGAAGTGTAGTAGTAGGATCTGCAGTGGTGCACAGGCGCAGCAGGCGGCAGCGAGAGCCGGCGCAGCAGGGGCGGGCTCAGCAGCGGTGATACGCGGGCGGCAGCGGGCGCAGCAGCGGCGGTGCGCGGGCGGCGGCGAGCTCAGCAGCGGCGGTGCGCGGGCGGCGGCGGGCTCAGCAGCGGCGGTGCGCGGGCGGCTGCGGGCTCAGCAGCGGCGGGCCGGGAGCAGTGCGGGCAGCGTGCGGGCCGGCGGCGGTCAGCGCACGAGCCGCGCAGGCTCAGCGCGGGCTGCGCGGGCTGCTCGCGGGCTGCGTAAGCGGGTCGCGGGCGGCTCGCGGGGGTTCGCGGGCAGGTCGCGGGCTGCTCGCGGGCAGTTCGCGGGCTGTGCGCGGGCTGCGCGGGCTGGTCGCGGGCTGCGCAGGCGGGTCGCGGGCTGTGCGCGGGCGGTTCGCGGGCTGTGAGCGCGGCGCGCTGTGCGGTTCGCGGGCGGCGTGACGGGGCCGATCGGGGCGCTAAGGGGCGACGCGACGGGGGCCGTGAGAGGCCGCTAAAAAAAAATTTCGACGGGGCCGCAGGGCCGCTAGATCTTGCTAGATCGACGGGGCCAGCGGGGCCGGAAACAAGCGAAGGTAAGCAGGTAGGTAAGTCGGTGGGCCCTAAGAACAGTCCTAGCGAAGGACCTGCTCTGAAACCATGTCAGAAATAACTGAGCAGGAATGAATAAACTAGAACAGAGTTTGGTACAAGTAGTAAACCCTAACTTTGTGTACCCCCTAAGGTGTAACCCACTACAGCCTAGACAATATAAACATGCAATGTTTGACATACAGCGCACACCTCTTGCTGTTGACCACAGACTCACTGGACCCTTTCCTGACGAGCCGTTCGAGCCTAGTGGTCCCTACGCAGAGCTTGTGGGTTGCCTCATGTACCTGATGACTTGTACTCGCCCGGACCTCGCCTTCCCTCTCAGCGTCCTTGCGCGCTTTGTTGCGCCAGGGAGACACCGTCCTGTTCACTGGACAGCAGCTGTGAGGGTGGCGAAGTACCTAGCGACGACATCAGGCGTGGGGCTAGTTCTTGGAGGGCAGCAGTCTATCGTACTTACTGGTCACTGTGACTCCTCTTACGCTGACGACGCTGAGACTCACAGGTCTACTCAGGGGTACTGTTTCAGCCTGGGTTCTGGAGCTGTTTCCTGGCGGTCCACGCGCTCCTCTTCGGTCTCGACCTCTACAGCTGAGGCTGAGATCTACGCTGGTGCCATGGCGGCACAGGAGCTGCGTTGGTTGACCTTCTTGCTCACCGACCTTGGTGAGCGGCCGAGCTCTGCACCGACCTTGTTCACTGACAACAAGGCGTCTATTCTCCTTTGTCGAGAGCCACGACTGGAGAGCAGAGTGAAGCACATTCACGTCAGGTACTTTCTTCTGCGAGAGTTGCAGAGGCGTGGACAGGCTCGCTTTGAGTTTGTGGAGTCAGAGGCCAACACTGCAGACATCTTCACCAAGGCGCTTCCGCCTTGTGACCACCAGAGGTGCTGTGTGCAGTTAGGCCTTGTTGACACTGGTTCTCGTGTTGCTTAGACTTGAGTGTACTGTTTACTTTGCTTTCTATATATCTCTGTTACTTCTTGGACTGGCCTTGTGGCCACTGTTGTTTGTGCTCAGACTGTGTGGTGACGTTGTGATCCACCCTGAGCTTTGTTTCTTGGACTGGTCTTGTGACCGTACTCGTTTGGTTCTGCTAGACACCCCTCACTTAGGCTATGGGGGTGTGTCAAATGTTGTAGCCTATAGTGAGGTTTGTCTTAGGGGGTACAAAACTTAGGGTTAGCTATATGTACCCCAACCAACATCAATGCATCATCCATTCTTCATTCTGACAACAAACGAGGTGCAAGAGAAGTTTATGGTTAACAAAAAGACTAACGTTAAGATCAAGATGGAAAGAGGAACGGGTAAGAAAAACGGATGAAAGGCGAAAGGAAAGGAAATAAAATAAATAAACGCACCTAGCTACGAACTCACCGAGATATGCCTAAACCGTGCATAGTTGAATGCGAACGAACGTTGAACGACATTTAAAACTGAAAGACACAAATCTAGTGAAAGACCTAAAGCTAAAGTATCTACAACAATTCTAGAACCTAAGCCTTAAACAACCTGCGGCCAATACTACGTTAAACGACTATGACGTGAGACTAAAAAATGGTAGTCTAGCTTGTAATGATTTAATTTAACTCGATATTCAAAACGAACATTGGTGCTGTTGCAGTCGTCTTAGTAATGAACTTGAGTTTGAGAGGACTCTAGTTCGATTCCATGTGAAACTTTGAATCTTTGCCAAATTTTGTACCGCTTAGTGTCATACTACAGCAAATGTACAGAATTAGAGGTTGTACAAATTTATGTGATTACGCAAAAAGCTTCGCAACCCTAAGACGATTTAGTCGACTCTTGTTTTTTTTCCACAGCACAACATGAAGGACATCAGTCCGTTTCATTCTGAGTGCTGCTCTTTGCAGCTTAGTGAAACCAAATAAATAGGCAGGAAGTTCCAGCTTGTGTGTGCCATTAGCGTATCAATCAAGTGATTTGATAGCATATACCATATTACATCAGTTTATGCAACATGTTGCTGCCTGTACCTAGGAACAACTTCTCTTCCTTCTCAGCGTACAGCATCCTTACATAATGCATATGGGCAAGGCATTGTATGTGACATGTGATGTGTGTTGTACACAACTCAAGATACAAAGAGGGTTGTCCTCCGCTCTAGCTGGTCAGAATTTGCTCAACACTTTCTTGTGTCTCATGCTGCTCCCTCTACGCTGCCTAACTCCCCTGAGCCTGAATTTGTCTCCTGCTTGAAGCGGTAACAAAGGGAGGAGAGACGGGAAAACATGATTGAAAGGTGGAGAGGCAGGAACGGGAGATGGGGAGGTGGGACGGAGGGGTGGGGGGGACAGGATTTGGAGAGAGGTAGACAGGGGGGAGAGAGAAGAGGAAGGGAAGGAGCAGTGTGGATTGCTGTTATGGGAAAAGGAGGTAGAGAGGAGGTGGGGAAGAGAGGTAAAAAGAGGGAAAGGCAGGAAGAGAGGGTAAATGAGGGAAATGCAGCAGGAGAGGGGAAAAGATTGAAAGGCCGGAGGAAGGGGGAAAAGAGGGAAAGGGCAGTGGAGGGAGGGGAAGGGCAGTGCAGGGAGGGGAAGGGCAGCGCATATTCACACGGACGGGCATGCCGCAGTTCACGTGTCCGGATGCTATGCATGTTCATGACATACAAGTGAAGGCGGGATCAGGTGTGGGGCGGGCGGATCAGCGTATGCTGGGTGTGCGTATCAGGGGATGGGAGGGGCTGGAAGGGGAATGAAAGGGTTTGAAAGCGGATGGAAGGGATTGGAAAGGGATAGAAGGGGCTGGAGGGGGATGGGAGGGGATGGGAGGAACTGGAAGAGAATGTGAGGGGCTGGAAGGGGATGGGAGGGGATGAAAGGTTACAACAGGGGAAGAAGGGTAAACGGGGAGCGGGGAAGGGAAACGGGTAGGCGGGAAGGGGAAACGGGGAGGCGGGAAGGGGAAACGGTGAGGCGGGAAGGGGAAAACGGGAAGGCGGGAAGGGGAAAATGGTAAGGCTGGAAGGGGAAACGGGAAGCCGGAGGGAAAACGGGGAGGCAAGAAGGGGTAATAGGGAGGGAGAAGGGGAAATGGGGTGGCGGGAAGGGGAATTGGGGAGGCGCGAAGGGGAAACGGGGAGCGGGAAGGGGAAATGGGGAGGCGGGAGGGGTAATTGAGAGCGGGAAGGGGAAACAGGGAGGGGGGAAGGGGTAATGTGGAGCGGAAAGGGGAAACAGGGAGGCGGGAAGAGGAAAACGAGAAGGCGGGAAGGGGAAACGGGGAGCGGGAGGGGAAACGGGGAGGCGGGAAGGGGTAACAGGGAGCGAGAAGGGGAAGTGGGGTGGCGGGAAGGGGTATTGGGGAGCGGGAAGGGGAAATGGGGAGGCGCGAGGGGTAATGGGGAGCGGGAATGGGAAACAGGGAGGCGGGAAGGGGTAATGTGGAGCAGAAAGGGGAAACGGGGAGGCGCGAAGGGGAAACAGGGAGGCGGGAAGGGGAAACGGGGAGCGGGAAGGGGAAACGGGGAGGCGGGAAGGGGTAATGGGGAAGCGGGAAGGGGAAACGGGGAGGCGGGAAAGGGTAATGAGGAAGCGGGAAGGGGTAACGGGGATGCGGGAAGGGGTAATGGGGAAGCGGGAAGGGGAAACGTGGAGGCGGGAAGGGGTAATGGGAAGCGGGAAGGGGTAACGGGGAGGCGGGGAGGGGCAATGGGGAGCAATCGTTCGCGAGCTCAAGTGCGGCTGCAGCGGCTGGTGCGGAAACGTTGTAGCAAGGATGTGCGATCGGGCAGCGACTATGATCGTGCGTGTTCGGCAGTTTGAGACGCGTCGTGCGCGTTCACGGTGTCGTAAGGAGGCAGCGTGGTGAGGCGACACGGCGGACGTCGAGGTGAGGCTGTGGGAAGGGGTCCGGCAGGGTCGTAGTGTGAGAGGGCGGAACTGTCGCGCGTCGGACTTGTAATCACACTAAACTGCCTCATGCGTATAGGTTTGTGCCGGAAACGGGGGTAATTTGCGCTGGCTGTTGAGTCACGATGTCCTTAGCTACGGTTTATGCTGCCTGTAGGGTAGTGGCGTAGATCTGACAGTGGCAAGATTTCGTATACTTTTGTCGACCCAAAAGTTTTGAATCACTAGTGAATGCTGGGTGTGGGGGAGGTCTCCCTCCCTTGTTCAGCGAGTGAAGTAGCTGTAATAGGGTTACCGATATTTCAAATTCCAAAACTTTTGAGCCTCCCTCTTTCAAGGCTGCGTTCTGCGGCCGCATCAGAGCCTGATGCGCCCTAGGCTCGGCCTGATCCGCAAATTGAAAAATTGAGGCTCGGTAATGTCCAAATTGAAATTGGAAAATGGAGGTTCGGAAAATGGACACGCAGGTTCGGGAAATCAGAAATTCGAAATTGCAAATTTCGACATTCCCAACCTCGATCTCAATTCTCTGCGGATTTCCAGCTAGTTGAAGGGTTCGTCGAAGCAGGGAAGCATGTACCTCACGCCTTCCCATGGGCATGGACTTTGCTGCCCGACTGCCCGACTTTGGCTTTGCGCTTGTCGAAACCCTTGGGCATCGAGCAGGGAACGCGCTCTGTTGTTCAGCCGTGGGGCAGCAGTGGGCCATCAATGACGCGGCTGTTTTTTTTCTTAAGGGCGTTGTTCAGTTGCCCCATTCAGGCTGATGCGCGCATCATGCGTCTTCTCGGCGTTGCATCATGCGCGCATCAAGGAAAATTGAGATTGCTAGGACGATGAACTTCTCGGAAAGCGTTAACATGGAAATTTGTGGTTGCAAAAGAGGCCGTTCTGCAGGCATTCGGGGATGGTTTGCCTCGGCAGCCAAGCGCTTATCGCGAGCCTTGATAACCCGCTGGCTGGTTATCAAGGAAGGATCCTGGAACGTTGTGAAAAAATTGCAATGTACATTGATTCGGGCAGATGCGGCCGCACAACGCAGCCCAAATGTATACAAAAGCTTTAACCGCGTATCACCGCTTTGGATCTAGAAAACCCAACCCACCCAATTTTACAGCTGGGCTGAGGGGGGCTTTCCTAGATCTAGATCTCCAATCGACCCCCATTCAATCCTCATTTGCTAGCTCACTTCTTCAGCGTGGCTTGAAAATTTCGCCGAAATTTAGCACCAAACGCAAAATCTCGATCCTCGGCGAAATTGACCGAAAATTTTGGGCGAAAGTTTCGACAACGAATATTTCGCCCAAATTTTGAAAAAATCGCCGAAATTTTGAACCTTGCTTCCCCCCCTTCCCCACTCACACACACTCACTCACACACCTGCTCTTCTGTTACTCCCAGGCATCAACTACGGGGCGCGGTTCATGCGCGCCAACGGCATCAAGCTGATGGACCTGCGCGTGAGGACGGTGGAGCTGCTGGGGAAGGCCGACATGTACTACTTCAGTGCCGAGCACCCGCCGCTCACTGACCCCGCCCTGGCCGCGCTGCAGTGGGCCATCACCAAGCTCAAGGAGCTCGGTGCTTTTGTTGGGCTGATCGTGGCTCTAAAGCTGCGCCTTGCGTCTGTGCCTGTAGTGTCAAACATTGCATGTTTATATTGTCTAGGCTGTAGTGGGTTACACCTTAGGGGGTACACAAAGTTAGGGTTTCCTACTTGTACCAAACTCTGTTCTAGTTCATTCATTCCTGCTCAGTTATTTCTGACATGGTTTCAGAGCAGGTCCTTCGCTAGGACTGTTCTTAGGGCCCACCGACTTACCTACCTGCTTACCTTCGCTTCTTTTCGGCCCCGATGGCCCCGTCGATCTAGCACGATCTAGCGGCCCTGCGGCCCCTTCGAATTTTTTTTTTAGCGGCCTCTCACGGCCCCCGTCGCGTCGCCCCTTAGCGCCCCGATCGGCCCCGTCACGCCGCCCGCGAACCGCACAGCGCGCCGCGCTCACAGCCCGCGAACCGCCCACGCGCAGCCCGCGAACCGCCTGCGCAGCCCGCGACCAGCCCGCGCACAGCCCGCGAACTGCCCGCGAGCAGCCCGCGACCTGCCCGCGAACCCCCGCGAGCCGCCCGCGACCCGCTTACGCAGCCCGCGAGCAGCCCGCGCAGCCCGCGCTGAGCCTGCGCGGCTCGTGCGCTGACCGCCGCCGGCCCGCACGCTGCCCGCACTGCTCCCGGCCCGCCGCTGCCGAGCCCGCAGCCGCCCGCGCACCGCCTCTGCTGAGCCCGCAGCCGCCCGCGCACCGCCGCTGCTGCGCCCGCTGCCGCCCGCGCACCACCGCTGCTGAGCCCGCAGCCGCCCGCGCACCGCCTCTGCTGAGCCCGCCGCCGCCCGCGCACCGCCGCTGCTGCGCCCGCTGCCGCCCGCGCACCGCCGCTGCTGCGCCCGCCGTCGCCCGCGAATCACCGCTGCTGAGCCCGCCCCTACTACGCCGGCTCTCGCTGCCGCCTGCTGCGCCTGTGCACCACTGCATTCCTACTACTACACTTTCTGCTACTACTGCTTGTGCGCCACTACAGTCCGTAGGCCCCACCGGCCCCGCTGACCCTGCGCACGCCTTTTCAGTGACTTTACTGCTTCTACTACTGCCGCTGTCGCTATGGCTAGTCCTCCTGTTCTAGCTTTCGACGCCGAGGGCCGTCCGGTCAAATTCGAAACCTGGCTAGATGACCTGCACCTTTTCCTACAGCTCACTGCCAAGGAAGATATTACACTGTACGACCACGCTCTCGGCCATGCGACCGCCCCACTCGCTACTGCCCCCCCAGCTGAGCGCTCACAGTGGCAGACCCGTGACGCGCACGCTCGCTTTGCTATTCGCAACTCCCTGCCGCTAGATGAGCGCGAGCACTTCGGCCAGTGCAAGACTGCTAAGGACCTCTACACAGCTGTAGTGGCCCGCTACTCCTCACCCGCTTCTGCCACACTAGGCCGCCTCACTCTCCCCTACCTGTTCCCCAACCTAGCCTCCTTTCACACTGTCGCAGACCTCATCACCCACCTTAAGACTAGTGAGGCTCGCTTTCGCGCTGCCATGCCTGATGAGTTTCTCGCTAGCAACCCCCCCCGCTCTGGATCACTCTCTACCACGTTGTCACCCGCCTCCCTGACTCTCTGCGCCCTGTCAGGGACCAGTTCCTCTCTCGCTCCCCCACTGAGCTCACCATAGCCCTCCTCGAGAAGGAACTGCTTGCAGCCGAGGCTAGTATCGTCGCTGTAGGCACCTCTCGTGGCGACCCCCGCGGCCCCTTCTTCGAGGGGTGCTCCCCTTCCCCCCTCCTCCCCTCTGTCGCCTCTGCTGCTGCTGTCGACCTCCTTGGTGCTGAGAAGGTCGGGGCTGCGTCTGCTTCAGGCGGACGACGCAGGGGCAGGAGTGGCAGGAGTGGGGGTGGTGGCGGAGGAGGCGGGGGTGGAGGTGGTGGCGGTGGAGGTGCGACTGGAGAGACTAGTGGCGGCAGTGGTGGAGGTGACAGCGGTGTTGGGAGTGGTGACAGGGGCGGAGGTGGCAGCGGAGGCGGAGGTGGTCGTGGCAGCGGCAGGGGTGGAGGTGGCCGGGGCGGAGGCGGAGGGGGTGGTGGTCGTGGAGGCCCGGGGGGCGGTCAGAGTCAGCAGCCTTCCCCGACCCTTCAGGCCGCCCGTGAGTGGTATGCGCGACGCAGCGTCACCTGCCAGTACGTTATTCGTACAGGTGACCGCACTGGCCAGATGTGTGGGGGGCCGCACCAGACGGAGCGCTGCTTCGCCCGCCTCAACGATGCGTGGCGCACCCAGTTTCCTGGTGGGGGTGAGCTGCCGCGCTGGGCTGATCTGCTCAGGAAGGGTGTTGATATTTGGGCACTTGACTTTGATGCTATTCTCACTGCCATGTATGCGATGTCTATTAGTGGAGAGGGTGCTCAGTACTTGCGTGTTCCGCCCGACCCGGGCATTCAGGCCAGCCCCGCTGCTGCTCTAGGTGCTAGTGTGTCTGCTTCCACAGGTACTACTGCAGCTGCTGCTCTAGGTGCTTGTGCGTCTGTGCCCCCTGGTACTGAGTCGACTGCAGCACTGCACACCTTCACACTGGACTCAGGTGCTTCTCGCTCTTTCTTTCGTGACCGCACTGTCCTTGAGCCTCTAGCTCGGCCGGTTGCTGTCTCTCTTGCTGACCCCTCTGGGGGTCCGGTCCTTGCGACCTCCTCCACCACCCTTCCGTGTCCAGCGGTTCCGTCCGGCACACTCTCAGGTCTCTACCTCCCCTCGTTCTCCACGAACTTGGTGGCAGGTAGTGCGCTCCAGGACTCGGGTGTTCACCAGTTCACCCCTGCCTACGAGCGTGTGACTCACTGCACGTGTGCTCGGACGGGCCGCCACCTGGCTACTTTCACTCGAGAGCCGGGGTCTGACCTGTACACACTGACCACTGAGTCCCCTCAGGTAGCTGCGTCTGCGTCAGCGTCAGGTCAGCTGTCCGCCCCCTGCTCGTGTCGCTCTCTGGCGAACGACACCGTCCTCTGGCACCACCGCCTTGGTCACCCGTCTGTGCAGCGCCTGCGGGCCATGCACAAACGGGACCTTGTTGCTGGTCTTCCCAGGGTGCTCCCTCCCCTTCCTGACTCCCCTGCTCCTGACTGCATTCCCTGTGTCGAGGGGCGGCAGCGCGCCGCTCCTCACTCCTCCTCCTTTCCCCCGACGACCGCTCCCCTGCAGACGCTCCACATGGACGTGTGGGGCCCAGCCCGCGTCCGTGGTCAGGGTCAGGAGAGGTACTTCCTGATAGTTGTTGACGACTACTCGCGCTACACCACAGTCTTCCCCTTGCGCGCCAAGGGTGACGTCCCTGGTGTTTTGATCCCCTGGATCAGCCGAGCCCGTCTCCAGCTAGGCGAGCGCTTTCACTCGGACTTTCCTGTCCTGCGCTTGCACTCTGACAGGGGTGGTGAGTTCGCCTCCGACCTCTTGGCAGCCTACTGTGCTGAGCACGGCATTGAGCAGTCGTACACGCTTCCGGCCTCTCCACAGCAGAATGGGGTT